GCGTGAAATTCAAAACAAACAGGCAAACTAAATGCATCATTATGTAGGGTAGTTTTTAAGTTTATTTTACTACTTAGCAAATAGCAGCAGTTGTATAACCATTGGCAACCAATCATTTGAATGTACCTTGTGATTTATATGGAGCTTCATAATCTTCTACAGGCATACGTATAGAGCTGTGCGCAGGCCATGGATTGAATTTTATGTTTATATGGCAGACATAACACATGTACCATAGCTATTATTAATTTATTTTTGGGGTGTTATGTATAATATGTGTATGTATAGGGTTCCTGCACTTTCAGACTGTGACTACTTGGCTACTTTTCATCACTCCATGATCTATTTCGGCCATGTTACACAAACATCTAGGCTATCTCCCACAGCAGATATCTTTAACCCATAGCACCTAGCTCAGTTTCGAGCATCAGATCACCAATCACGGTGATGGCCGATGGTGTCAAATTATAGCCAACATTGCGTGATTGCAAATATTATAGATACCGCAGACAGAGTAGTCATCCTTGAAGCTAACTATTAGGAGTGTCAAGAATCATGCAAGAAGGAAATTCTAGAAAAAAGTGAAGCAGAAATTTTGTAGTTATATATTTTATTTAGAAAATATTTAGTTTCAGATGAACATTGGAAATAGATAGGAGAAGGTATATTAATATGATCAATTCATAATTGTTAAGTAACACGTTTTCGACGTTGTAGAGTGTGCAAAATGCCATTCTTAAGAGGAAATCTGGCCAGCTGCAGCAAAACCGTGACTGGTCTTACCATGGCTGGCGAAGAGGAGGAAGGGGGCAAATATAACAACTATAAGAAATATTAAAAATGCTTATTTGTATACATATAATATTATATTATCACAGCTTAACCTTATATTGGAGTCTTCCGTCAACCAACCACATTACACGTTAACTTTTGGACAAAAATAGTGAATGTTATATGGCTAATACATTTTTTTCTTAAATTTCAAGTCACTCCAGTGTGTTAAATTGTTCATCAACCATAAGATAGTGTAATAGTGAATGTTATATGGCTAAGACTTTTTTTTATTTTAACTCACTCCAGTGTGTTAAATTGTTCATCAACCATAAGATAGTGTACTGGGATGTTGTATGGCTAAGACTTTTTTTTTTATTTTAACTCACTCCAGTGTGTTAAATTGTTCATCAACCATAAGATAGTGTAATAGTGAATGTTATATGGCTAGGTCATTTTTTTGTTGTTAAATTTCAACTCATTCCAGTGTGTTAAATTGTTCATCAACCATAAGATAATGTAATAGTGGATGTTGTATGGCTAGGCCATTTTAGTTGGTTTCAACTCTCTCCATCTGTTAAACCATGTTGGAATCTTCTCTCAACCAACCACAGTTGATATAATATTTCATTGAAATCTTCCCTCAACCAACTACAGTTGACTTATTACATTGAAGTATTCCCTCAACCAACTACAGTTGATATAATATTTCATTGAAATCTTCCCTCAACCAACTACAGTTGATATAATATTTCATTGAAATCTTCCCTCAACCAACTACAGTTAACTTATTACATTGGAGTCTTCCCTCAATCAACCATAGTTGACTTATTACATTGGGGTCTTCCCTCAATCAACCAACTACAGTTGACTTATTACATTGGAGTCTTCCCTCAATCAACCAACTACAGTTGACTTATTACATTGGAGTCTTCCCTCAATCAACCAACTACAGTTGACTTATTACATTGGAGTCTTCCCTCAATCAACCAACTTACAGTTGACTTATTACATTGGAGTCTTCTCTCAATCAACCACAGTTGACTTATTACATTGGAGTCTTCTCTTAATCAACCACAGTTGACTTATTACATTGGAATATTCACTTAACCAACCACAATTGACTTCTTATTACATCTGAATCTTCTCTTGACCAGTTGCAGTTTTATGGGAAGTCTGACCCTTAAAGAATGTCCTTAATCCCACATTCCCTTAAAAAACAAAAGACTAATCACTAAATCCAGTCCAAATTTTTATCTCCCACAAAATCTGTAAAGAATAACAGTCTATCAGTGGCTAGTTGAGTTAAAGACTAGGCTTAAGATAGTTTATTGATGATAGATGTTGTAAGCTGGGTATGAACATATTTTGATTTAATTTGTCATAATTTCTTTTAGGTTGCAGCTCGTCGTAAAGCTTGCTATCTTGTCATCATTTTGGTCCTGGTAGCTGTCATAGTGGGATTAATTATATATCTCAGTAGGTAATAAGAGTGTCTACACAGTGAAGAACTGAACTTTGAACCTCAGCTATGTTGTAGAAATATATGATATAACTATTTGAATTATCTGTTGTTTTTTTCCGGTAAGATATAATTAAAGTGTGCCCTAAGTAATTTTAATGTATCTAACCTGTGCCCCAAATTAACAGTGTCTATGAAGATTAATGTTATACGTGTTCAATTTATTATATGCTTCATTTTTATTTATTTTTGAAGATAGGTAATTACAATTAAATAAATAGTTTTAGTAATTAAGTTGCCTTAATGTTGCTGAAGAAATACAGGTCAAGTAAGATAACAAAACAAAAACATAAAGAACTTAATTAGCAGTTTCTAAAGGTTAAGCATATTTCACAGAAATAAATGATAATAATAATAATAAAAATACTTGTTAATAATTTAAAACCAGAATCTATTTAATTTTTGTCTCAGCAATTGTTATTGAAAACAAAATTTTAACTAAGAAAAATCAAATTAGCAAAATCCTGCTTTTTGTAACATAAGAGAAAAGCTGCTTTTAAATGTTGTAAATTTTTTTTTAATATTCTTAGAAATACGTTTTATTTTTGTGTCTTTTATCTTCTAGTTTATCTATTACTGTGAAAATTATCACGATAGTTTAGAAAATAATCCACCACATAATTGTGAACAAAAAATAAAATGTAATTTAGTGTTTTAACTTGGCATCATTATCAACGTGGGATTTAAATGAAAATTATCTGATGATGCCAGGTTAATCCGATGAAACATGAAATAAGAAAAATTGATTTCATCCGTAAGTCCATAAACGAACTGTTGGAAATTACTTACACTAGAGCTCTTTTCTAATTCAAGATGTAATATTGTTTGGTGTGATATGGATTAGAAAACAGCTTGTTTTAAGATAATAAAAAAATGAGAATTTGAAGCAGAATGTGGTAAATAAAAATTTGATTTTTGTTTTCCACTGATTTTCATTGTTTTAGTACTATATGGAGTTTTGTATTTTAACGATGTTTTTTTTTTGTGCATCTAATGTTATATTTGTTTACAAAATACCTTATAGTAAATCTCATTTTTCTGCATGCATTTAATATCCCAAACATGGAATTTCAGGGAGATTAAACTCGGTGAATTGTATTTGAAAAATGTATTTTTATTTATTTGCAAATAAGAAAAAAAAGTACATTTTTATTAAAGTAATTGTATTTTGTTTTGTTAAGATGTATTTATCATAGTAACTTCTGGGGCCATTTTACAGAAGAGAAATGAATGTAAAGGAACAGTCAAAATAATGTTTGTCAAATATGCTGTAGGTTTGTTTGCTTATCAGATGATAGTTACAGTAAACACTGAACAGGTATTTCAGATGTATTATGTGTGAAAATTCTGTAATGGTTGTTTATATTAGTGTGTTAAAGGGGCATTTATATATACAGATAAGTTTAATAAGTTATGTTTGTTTAGGCTAAAGTAGAAGATTGTATTTAACTGGAAAATGGGCAATAACTTTTGTTGTTGTTGTTTTGAAGTTCTTTGGGCAAAGTCCAGTTATAAACACAAAGGAACATATTTCACACATTCTCTAATTTTTCACTGTCTGTTCTTTTCTCAGGTTTATTGGGCAAAACCAAGTTAAGACTTAGCCATACAGATAAAGATTGATCATACATTCCTTTGAATTTAGTTTTTGGCAAAGTTTAAGGGTGGGTAGAGTTTTTTTCTGTAAGTAGTTCTTGTTCACTATAGCCGTGTTAAAAGATTTGGATATGTTATGTTCAAATCTCATTAGCTATGCACGTGACAGTAGATGTGTGATATGTTTCTAGGACTTTCTTCCCATATACCAACTCCCAGAATTCGGACAACTAAATAATACATTCTGGATATTTTGTTCTTGAATGTGAACAAGCTTTTTAAATCTTAGACGATTTCAAAACACTGTTTAGTGAGACTTGAGAATAAAGATGTCATTTAGTCACCTGGCCTTTAAACTTATCAGGTATATGTTATAGTTATATAGCAAGGATTTACAGCTAGAACTAAATCTTAGAACAGACTAAGAATGTAATTTTATTTTCGATGAAATAAATAGTATTAGCATTTTCACTAAGTATTCTCCTGGTATTTGATTGTTTATAAACCCTTGATATAAGAATGTAAATTAAATCTTAGAATAATCAGGAACAAAGCTTGAAATTATTTAGGTAGGATTAGAGGGAATTAATCTACAAGACATTTTTTTTCATTTTTGATTAGTTATATTTTTGTGTGCCAGAAATACCAAGCATGGGGCGCACGTATTCAATTTTATTACTCATCGGGATCTCTACCAGCCTAACCTCAGATTGAAATTCTTTTAGGCAGGATTAGAGTAAATTTATCGATGAGACCTTGGTCAAATACATCAATCAAAAGAGTTTGACCTCCTAAGTCCATAACTGTAATTAGTTCTCTAATCGATCAAGAGATAGTGCTATGAGCTGCTACGCGGCAGCTAAAAATGAGAATATAAGCCAATGAATTTTGTGGTAAAATATGAAATGAAAACCAAAATTCAAGGAAAGAAAACTTGCAGTAATTCACAAGTGAAAATAGTGTTTTTATCACTTGGTTAGGATCTAGACTGTTATTAGATTATTCAACAATTACCTTAGTTTAACATTCTGTGTAAGTTCCTCTCTTATCATTGAATTGGTTGATTTGTAAGGATGGAGTCAAATCTTTCTGTGACTGTTTTTTCTTCTGATTTGTTTGTTTAGGAAGCACTGAGTCTTGAAGGTTATCATTAGAGATTTATGAGTGAAGAACTTAGGGTTAAAATTTGAGTCAAGGTCCTTTTTCTTAATTTGTAAGTCCATTTCACACGGGATTTTGTGTGATGGAAGTGTGATTAATTTGTTATAAGTTAGTTAAAGAACTGCAATGCTTGTTCAGGAGAATCACAAATAAGAAAACAATGATCTACATATTTGTAGTAGTATAAAGACATTGTGTTTCATTATGTGATACAGAGATTTTTAGAGAGAGAAAGAACAAGGAAATTCCCAGACCCTCTGTTTGTTCATAAAAGTCACTGTTTAAAATATTATAAGATTCTTTAGTCACAACATAAAATAGTTTTTCAGATTTTTGTGTTAAATCTTTAACAAATTGAGAAGAGAAACAAGATTTCAAGAGGAGTATAGTGTATCAACATGAAAGATGGTCATAAAGACATTATATCTGAAACTGACAAAATGAAAACTCTTGCGAACAGTGTATTCCAATGACTTGGGAAAATTACCAAGATTGCATGTTTGAGACGATAGTTTTTAGGAGATTTCAAAATTACATTAATTTTATAAAGGTAAGTCTGCTTGTTCATAAGAATGTGTCTCTTGTAAGGCTTTGTGACAATGATATCTGGCGATTTTTGTAAGTCGAAAAGTGATTTAAGCTCTTACTTGGTAGTGTTATGAGGTTGTGGTTGGTTGTTGTATTATGTGAAGTAATCTATAGCATTAACAGTTGTTCAGGTTTACTAGAATTATTGATATCTGCTGAATTTTGCCATTTTCTTTGAATAAAAGTTATACAAAAGATTTGAAGAGTTTATCTTAAAGTTTATATTAAGTCATGAATCAACCCTTAAACACAAAATATATAAAACTTCTCTTGTTGATTTTATTCAGTGTTTCTACATCTGTTTTTATCTTTTTGATTTAACTTGTATATTAATTTATTCTTTGCTTCGGTTTCTTTTGTCTTGTATTTCCTTTTCTTTATACATCTGTTGACTTGTTTTTTTTTCTTCTTCTTTGGACACAATGTTCTCTCTCAAATTTCTTTATTTTGGTTTGCATTTGTAGTTTTCTGTTCTGTTTATGTATTTATTTGATCCTTTCTTAGCCTGTTATTTTAATGAGTATACTTGTTCCTATGTTTTATCTTAAACTTGTATTCTCCTATGCTTTCAACCTTTTCCATAAAATTCCTGAGCACTTGTACACACTTTGAACAATGAGTGAACAATTAATATATCCAAAATAATTCACATGAGTGAAAGTAATCTATGTCATAGCCTTAACCCTTTCACCACATAATTAGATCTCACGATCAGTCCTCAATCAATGTAAGTTAGTAGTATATTTCACTGTATTATGTATGATATACAAGACACATTACATATCTTGATGTTATGGCATCAATAACTTAACTAAATTATGGTAAAAACACAAGAGAAAATATTATGGTCAGCTGATATGTGTGCTTATGTTGCCAGTTGTCAGCACACCTGTCGTCTGGCAGTTGTTTCAAGCTCATGGAGAAAAGTCAATCTCCGCTGTCAATGACAATTTATCTTCCGTCGATTGTAGTTGCTTTCCAATGTGAAAGGGTTAATATGCAAGTTTATATTACTAGTATATAACAAAATGTTTGAAAACAATCATAAGTGCATACAGAACCAAAGAGACCAACACTCACAAACAAATGCAATATGCATCCACCTCATCCATTATACTTGATAAGATCTTTAGAATACAATAGATTTCCAGAGATTTTTATAACTTTCACTAATGTGAAACAGGACAAAATGCATAAATCTTCTGCAGGGATTATTGTAAGTTCATTTGGATTTTTTTAAATAGAACAATAATAGGCCAAAATCCCTGCTTCTGCCAGTATCAGACTCACTGGATTGAAACCTGTCACCAAATATGCTTACACTTTCAGCCATGAAGGTGTTATAACATGATGATCAATCCCACTATTTGTTGGTGAAGACTAGCTCAAGAGTTGGCAGTGGGTGGTGTTGACTAGCTGCCATCCCCCTCGTTTATCACTTCTACATTAGGGACAGATAGCCCTAGAGTAGCTTTGTGGAAAATTCAACAAAAAATCTGTGCTCTTGCGAGAAAGGCATAAATCCCGAATCTATCTGGTTTAATATGTGAGGACTATCACAAGATATCATTGAGCAAAATTTCATCTAAATTGGTTAAAATATATACGAATGTCTAACAAAAATTGTTATTCGGAAAAATGTTTTGACTTTGACCAGCGTAAAATTGCAAGAAAGAAAAAAGGGGCAGTGTAATTAGGGTTATTCCAAATATAAAGAAACAGCAGGCAGAAAAACAACTAATTTTTAAATTTGGATTTTACAAAAAAAATTAAATGAAATTTATAGATCTGTCTGCTTTATTCTGTGAGGGTTGTTGCAAGGCATATTTGTGTGAAGTGTTATCCAGATTTGATCCAATGCTAGGGAATGGATGGTGATACTGTTCCTCATGTTAACGGAAAGAAAAACTGAAATGCTGCCTGTCGAAAGCCTAATTGTGAGGACATGCATCTGTTTTGGGATTTCCTCTTTTAACCTTTTTTTTTGCGACATCAGTGGTGAATTAGTCAAATTATAGAGAAATATAAGCCAAAATATGTGTTTGTAATGTTTTTCCTACGACCTCGGGAAATCGAAACATGGTGCTTAATTTAAAAAAAACAAAAACAAATAGTGTCTGGGTTTATTAGATCAATATAAAAACCTTTCAAGTTTCAAGGCCATTGGATCAGAAATAGAAAAGTGGCACACAATTATAAGTGTTGATAAGAAAGGGAAAATTCAGTACGTTTTCTTTCGTATGGAGGAACCAAAAATACCGGTTTATTTGTGCCGTTCATGAGTTTACACATACATTAGTACTTCGTGCTTAGATATGAGTACTCACGACAGCTTTAAAATCCTGACAATCTGTTAACCACAAAAGATGAAATTTTGTTCTGTCTCATCATTAAATGAAGATGGCGCTGTACACACAAGATATATTTTACTGGCTTAACAATTATTGATAAGAACAACTGAAAGTAATCTGTAATATAATATGCCAACGTCATAATATTTGCTATATCTAGTCCTGATGAGGCTTTTTACCCAACACTAGGGCGTGAATATGATAGTGCTTGACCAGAAAGATTATCAGTTTATACTAGAAGAACGAGTCGAAATTTATTCAATTTCTTATCTGACCACACAAAATCGAATATTTGGCCATTAAGGTATGTTCTTCTGGAAACGTTAATATTGTGAGTATTCATCCCGCCTTCAAAGATTTTATTTAGACGATCCTGTTTACTCATTTGTTAACAGGAGAAAGACTTTACCCCCCCCCCCTTTCAAAAGTTTGAGCCCCCTTTTTTAGTGACTTGGCGGTAAGTCGGAGAGTTCGCACTACTAAAAACGGGTTTCTATACTCGTGTTGGGCGTAGCACTGATAGCCCACTTTGTAGCTTTGTACCTAACATCAAAGGGACAAAATCAAAGGTTTAAATTAGTAACTAACTTTTCACAATTTTTAACAGAATTCACCATTGTTGTTTAATTTGTAAACTAAATTACACAATAAATCTGTTCGAAACTCAAGTAAAAAAACTTGATCAAAATATTATTGCAAATGTATTTTCTTTAAAATATAAAAAAGAGAAAATTGTATTAGCATGAAACAACCTTAACAATATTATAGAAATTTGCTTTTAAAAAATTATTTTGATGCTACATAATTCTAATTAACAATTTTCAAAACTTACACCCTCAGAAACAAATTTTTAATAAAACGACTGGCTCATCTAAGTGTAATCCCGACGGTCATACACCCGTTTTCCCAAATTATATTATTGTATATGTAATATTTTTCATAGCTTTCCCATTGACAGGACTTTAGTAATAAAATTACCTTTATGGAAGAAAATATGCGTATACTTTCTTGTGCTAGATTGATTTATTGACTAAGATGAAAATTGGAGTCACGGGTAAAAAAACAAACATGTTCATATAAAAAAAATTTTCCTTAGGGCGTCAGGATAGTTCCTCAGCATAACAGCACTCGATGGTAATCTAATAAACTTAATTAATTAACTTGGTGCGTATAGAGGGCTCTAGGTACATCAGACTTACTCAGAACGACTAGTGTTTCCACGTGACTGGTCATTTCTATTCAAACTTAAGGGAGTTATTACTTTGAGATTAATAAAGTTCAGAGACAGCTTGAATGAATAAAACCTCATTGCAAGTTTAACACAGTAATAAATGTGCAGTGTTTCGACAAGGTTTTGTCATCGTCAGGCCTGAAAAACAACACCTGATAATGAAAAAGCCTTATTGAAACATATATTTGTTACTGCGTTAAACTTACAATGAAGTTTTCTTCGTTACTCATTAAAGACTTCTGATACTTAACGAAGGTTGTAATAAATGTATACTTATATCCTAACTAACTAAATTCTTACTTAAGAGAAGGTTTAGATGAAATAGAGTTTACTTGAATGGTGTTGTCGATGCATCTTTCTAGCAAATTTTGAACGACGATTCGAGCTGATGAAGATAATCATAATCATAAATGCCACATCACATCCAAAGTAAAATCTAGCAATATGATTATTTTACTTCTCGAAGAAGTATTTTTGAAAATAATTTGTTTGGTGTGGGGATTTTAATGATTCAGCAGACGTATCCTTTCATATAAATTTACAATTATTCGGATGATTTCTACATAATTACTCTTTTGGTAGTTGTGAATATCAACCAAAGAAATGGGCTGTTTTCCAATAAGTTGTTCCATACGTTACGACAGCGGAAGTCACGTGACGCTTGCTCGCGCTTTAGTTTAAACATCACATTTTAACTTTGATTTAATCTCAAAAGCAATATGGCCAGTGACATAGCAAAGATAATTGTTATGGAAAAAGCTGTGTAGAGTGGTACAAGAAGCCATTGGTAGTATTACATCAATGCTCACATCTTTTTGCGCTATTTGGGGGGGGGGGGGTCAACGAGGAAACAGTCCATTTGTTTGGTCACTGTCTTCATCAGATAGTAAGAAACAATTATCTGTTGAAGATGGGAGGGCAGCATGTTTCCTAACTAGATTTTTAATAGAATACTAAACGTCGAGCGCACTAACCACCGGGCCTTATGATAATGATGGACCCACTTGAAGTAAATATATATATATAGTAGAGACGACTGATATGGGTATTAAAAACTTTTATTTGAAAACACAAAACAAGTACAACGTTTTGACCTCCTTAGGTCCTTATCAGAATAAGATGAGGACCTATGGAGGTCAAAAGCATGGTATGCTTGTATAACAGAAAAGTGCTTTGGATATTTATTTGCTGGTTATTAGTATCAGTTCTTTATTTGATGATATATTGTCTAAGACTTAAAGTATATTAATTAATATTTTATCAATCTACTAAAAATTGTTTTTGAGTTAACGCATGACTGTATTAAAACAAGTGTTTTTTATAGTGATAAACGGTGTTATTGTGGTAGAGGTCGCTGTTACGTTGATACGCACGGTAAATTTTGTCAATATGGAATCCGTCACGATTTGTTCGACTTTTGTTGTAATGCTGGTAATTCATAAGATTAAATATGGTTGTTATTTTTTGTTTTTGTTATAGTATCATGTTTTCAAATCATATAAATTATAAGTATAATGTCACGCCATCGGAACAACCTTTCTATACAATTAAACGAAGGTAACAAAGTCTAGGACTTGCTAACTTCACTACCAGTAGTAGTAATCCGTAATTTGTAAGTTTTAGTTAACTACTATTAGTAAATAACATCTACTGTATGATAGGACGTTACTGGTGTGTTTCTTGCAGTTTTAAGTTCCCGCTGGTTACTCGGTTTTACATATTATTTTAGCTATCCGATACTTATAGTAATAGTAACTATTAGTATTGGTTTTTTAGGCTCCTATCAACTCAACTGAAGAGTGAGGTGATTGTTCTACTTCTAATTTATGTTTTACTTTTACTAAAGATAAACTGTTGAAGCTTCACAGTGTCAGCTAGCTCAGTCTGGCCCAAAATACAAGTTATGCATTTTAGTAAGTAATAATAAAAGAAAAGATCTTGCATCAAAATCTATGGGCTAAGACAAAGATATACTCATGCTCAGTCAAGTCATATAGTCTATAGTTTCGCGAATTAGGAACTCAAATTTCCTATATTAACAAGGTAGAATATAAAATAAGAACCTCTTATCTTTTCTATTTGCTGACATATCACTTGTACTGAATCAAACACAGTGGCCTCACTCACCTCTCCATTTTTGGAAACAGTCCTTTATATACACTTACTTCTGTATATGACATGTGAATAACCAATTTAAAGCTCAGAATGTCTCCCTTGTGGCTTTCTCAGCCATTTTCAAGTGTTGCGACATCATCTCCTTTCGAGGCGAGACTTTAAGAAGTTGTGTCTTTAGACTGCTCGAAATTTATATTTTTTTAGACCCAAATACAACTTAATTACTAAGCTTGATAAATTATAGTGGAATTCTTTGGCATCAATACAGTAATTTATGGTTATGGTAATGGTTATTCAACAGTATATATAAAACCTAAAAAAATTATTTTGTTTCACGTCTTCCACATGCAAAATTTTAAAAGGCTTAGCAACCTACAACCAATGAGATAAAATGTTGTAACTAGCAGAGATAATTGTTTGCTTTACTTCTTTATTTACTGTTCTATGTTTTAAGAACTTATTTGTAAATAGTAATAATATATATATACTTATATAATGTATTATACCTGAAATTTAACTATTTTACAAAATACCAGTCCATATAACACAACCAAGACAAGTCACTTTGTAAAGACTAAAGGTGAGTTTTATATTATTGGATATGGTAACATGTGCACGTGTGCCACGTCATTGTAACTTTTGTATTGTAGCCAGGCACGGCTGAAAGGTCAATATAATAAATATATATAAATGTATAATGTTATAAGATTTAAGCTCTTTTCATCTAAACATTTATGTTTTTGTGTTATAATTTGTTGTCATTCTAGAATGAAAAAAGGCATAATTTATATTTAACTCCTAATTTTTTATGGTGGTTACAAGATTGGTCAAATCAACTGAACCCAAACAGAGATTTGTTAGTGAAAATAACAGATAAAATATAAAGTTTTTTCTTAAGAAATATTTGATAACTATCTGGACATTATAAAGATTTTGTATATGAAGTTTGAAATTTTTCTGATGCATAAAAGTATTTTTAATCTTAAAATGAAAATTACTTTGCATGTTGGATAGGCAACATGCAGAAAGTAAAAGGCATG